GCATTTCCAAGAATTGATTCTAACTTTTTAAAAAAAATGGCAGTTCTGGGATTTGTACTGAAGGCCTTGTACTCTTTTCTTTTTCTTTTTTTTTGTCAATTGTGGAGCTTGAATTCTGGGCCTGGGGACTGTCCTTGAGCTCTTCAGCTCAAGGCTAGCATTCTAGCACTTGAGCCACAGCTCCACTTCCAGTTTTCTGAGTGGTTTATTGGAGATAAGAATCTCACTCAATTTCCTGCCCAGGCTGGCTTTGAACCATGATCCTCAGATCTCAGCCTTCTGAGTAGCTAGGATTATAGGCGTGAGACACCGGTACCTGGCTTAAAATCTTGTACTCTTTTTATTATCATTATTATTATTGTGAAAATACTGTACAGAGGGGTTACAATTACATGGGCAAGGTAATGAGTACATTTCTTATCAAGCATTGTTGCCTCCTCCTTTGTTTCCCCTTCCCATCCCTTCCAATCCTCCCCCTCTAACTCCCCCAGCTCTGTTCCCCCCTTTCCCACCCCACCCCACCCCCCTAGCCAAAGTTGTAAGGTTCGTTTTTCCTTTTTTTTTTTTTTTTTTTGGTCGGTCGTGGGGCTTGAACTCTGGGCTTGGGCACTGTCCCTGCGCTCTTCAGCTCAAGGCGAGTGCTATACAGCTTGAGCCACAGCACCACTTCCGGTTTTCTAGTGGTTTATTGGAGATAAGAATCCGACGGACTTTCTTGCCCAAGCTGGCTTTGAACTTCAATCCTCAGATCTCAGCCTCCTGAGTAGCTAAGATTACAGGTGTGAGCCACCGGCGCCCAGCTTAAAGTTCATTTTTCGACATAATGTCTTGTACATCTCATTTTTGCAATGGGTCTACCTGTATCCATATTTAAGCAATTTGTTTTTTCCCTTCCCTTCCACAAATTTTACCAACATCAAATACAGTGAAAACAGGAGTTATATCGTGGGGGAAGGACATATAAAGCAACAAAGAAATATCTTATAAAAATGTTAGAAACAATAGCAAGAAAGAAAAAATATTAGAGTTCTTATCTTGGGGTTCATTTCAGATCTATGGAGACTGATCCTGCCAGGTAGATTTATCTGATCGTTTCTGCTTGTTTCAGACATATACTAGTTATTGCAAATAAGGGAAACCATGGGACCTATGTTTCTTTGGGCTTGGCTTACTTCACTTAATATGATTTTTTCCAAGTCTTTCCATTTCCTAACAAATGGGGCAATGCCATTCTTTCTGATGGAGGCATAGAATTCCATTGTGTATATATACCACAGTTTCTTGATCCATTCATCTACTGAAGGGCATCTGGGTTGGTTCCATATCTTAGCTATGGTAAATAATGCTGCAATAAACATAGTTGTGTTGGTAGCTTTAGGATGGTCTTGTTTGTGATCATTTGGGTAAATGCCCAAAAGTGGGATTGCTAGGTCATAGGGGAGCTCTATGTGGAGTCTTTTGAGGAACCGCCATACTACTTTCCAAAGTGGTTGAACAAGTTTATACTCCCACCATTAATGAAGCAATTCCCTTCTGTCCACATCCCCTCCAGTATATGTTGTTATTAGAGTTCTTGATTTTTGCCATTCTAACTGTGGTGAGGTGGTATCTCAATGTTGTTTTGATTTGCATTTCTTTTATGGCTAGAGAGGTCGAGCATTTCTTCATGTGTCCATTGGCCATCCTTCTTTCCTCTTCAGAGAAGTTTCTCTTTAAGTCTTTAGCCCACTTATTTATTGAGCAGTTGTTTCTTTGAGGATTTGTTGTTGGGGGATTTAATTTTTTGAGTTCCAGTTATATTTTAGATATGAGACCCTTGTCTGTTGTATGGCTAGTGAAGAACCACATGGTTATCTCAATAGCTGTAGAAAAAAGCCTTGTACAATTATAGCTTGCTTGTTGGCTGGCATTTAACAACTTGAGGTATGCCTCCATCTTTGCTTTTCCGCTGGTTATAGTGGAGACAGCTTCTCATAGACTTTTCTGTCTGTCTGGCCTTCCCCTGTGATTCTCCACATTTCAGCCTCCTTGAGTAGCTAAATTACAGAAGTGAGCCACCAACCTGGGCTTTGTTTTGGCTCCTGCAATGTGCCAGGGTCAGTATTGAGATGGCCAGGCTAGCAGTTGCCACTCCAGTCACATACAATCAAACACAAGCAAGTCAGTAATCATGGCCAGGCTATGGCCTGTCCTCAGTGTGCTCAGCCATATTCCCTCCTCATGGCCGCCCACGGTGACAGCTGAGAAAAGGGACAGAGAGGCTGTGGGAAACTGAGGCTGTGGGCATGCTGGGCAAACCAGAGCAAGGCTCTTGCTTCTGCTCCAATGTCGCTATCTGCAGGAGCCTAACAGGGTCCTCAGCACACAGCACTCAGGGTCCCCACTGAATCCATCTACGCTGAATTTCTAGAGGCAGGACACAAGACTGAATCACATTGAGGACCCTCAGGAGGGAGACGGTCCCTTTTCTATCCCAAAACAGCACCAGCAACCATGGCAATGCTTACAACTACTTGCAGAGTTGTTATCGACAGTTTCTAAGGAAGAGACTCCTGTCCCTACCCCAGAGGCCCTTCTACAGGAGCACTTTCTTCTATGGTACTTGGTGAATGTGCATGGAGCAAGAGGGCTGGAGAGGAGGAGGAAGGGTCATCCTGCAATCTCTCCTCCACACCAAGGCCTGCATAATGCTGCAGCTCACTGCTGCTGATTCCTGCACACACTATCCTTCATTTCCTATGGAAATGATGTTTCCTATGGAAACATCTGTAGTCATTATAGGTTTGCTTATTACAGAAACATACAAATTTCATAAATTGCTTTTAAAGTGGTATTAACTTCATTGTTGCAGTGAATAATTCACAAGGCAGCTTGAATGCAGAGCATTGTGCTCCTCACTTGGCTTTCTCACTCATGGATGGCATTTTACCCTTCGAGCCATGCCTCTGCTTAGAGTTCTTTGCTGGTTAATTGGAAATAAGTCTCTCAGATTTGTCTACCTGGATAGGCATTGAACTACAATCCTTAAATCTCAGCCTCCCGAGTAGCTAGGATTATAGATGTGAGCCCCTGGTGTCTGGCAAAAAGATAGCTCTTGGTATAGTTACGTAGTTTATATGCACTAATGATATAAATGTAGGTTATATAGCTATGTTATATATCAATTTCTAGGTGACCAAGTTCTTAGAGGCAAGCAGACACTCTCTAAACTGTGGGCCAAGTCCACCCACAGGATAACTCTAGCAGGTGTCTTGACTCGCTGACTTTTGTAATCCACTTTAGTAAGCCTGATGAAAGTCAAGTGACTACACTTCATCATAACTTACCCAACTACACAACTGACAATTAACAAATAAAACAAATCAGAGTAGACAATATAATAGACCATAAAATTTCAAATAAGCAATCACAAAGGTTAGAGAGTATGAAATATTATTATTATTATTTTGATGATACTTATTAAAAATATTTTCTAAGGTTTATCCAGAAAGTGGTTACTCAAACTCCCAAGCAACAGTAACTGGGATAGTCCTAGCCTAACTGGAAATACTATGGAAATACTGGAAATACTATGTACACTGGAAATACTATGTTCACTATATCACATGCCATCTTGATCTAAAATATTAATAATACTCTCCATAATGTAAAACTTTAAATTCTATCTATCTAAACACACACACACACACTTACTAATGAACCTCAAATTGAGAAATCTAACTTCAAAATGTTGAATAAATAGCCAAGCACTGATGCCTCACACTTGTGAGCTACTCAGGTGCCTGAGAACTGCAGTTCGAAAGCCAGTCCAGGCAGGAAAGTCAATGAGATTCTTATCCCCAATAAACTACTAAAAAGAAAAAGAGCTGGAAGTGGAGCTATGGCTTAAATGATAGAGCATCAGCTTTGAGTGAAAAAGTACAGGGACAGAGCTCAGGCCCTGAGTTCAAGTCCCAGGACACACACACACACACACGCATGCACACATACATACATGCATAACATACACACATACACAAACTGCTGAAAAAATAAAAATCAATGATATAATTATCAACATAAACAACTATATAAAAGTTATGGCTAAACAACAAATTAGAGCAAGTTAAAAAATAATTCAGGAAATTCCAAAAACAAGAAGTTATAATCAGGACATAAAACTGCTCACAGAAACTAGTAACAAGATCATGCATTATACTTCCAAAAACAAATGGTAAAAAGATGTGAAAGGATAATTAACCAGGAAGAGATCTGCTAGATTTTGAACATAAGAATAACATCTTGATGCAGGGCACTGACATGAGATACGGTGGAGAAGGGAACTAACAAAATGCTGAAAAACAAGGATACAGGATGATCCATTGTAACAATGAGATGTACATGACACTATATAGAAAACAAACTTTACAACTTGGGTGGGAGGGGGACTTGGGGAAGGAAGGGATGGTAGAGGTAAAACAAAGGAGGAGGTAACAATGCTCCATAGAAAATGTACTCATTACCTTACACATGTAACTGTAACCCCTCTGTATACTATGTTTACAGTAAAAAATAAAATAAAAAAGAGTAACATCATTAGTTCAAATGAAAACTAATCACAACACTCTTTCTTGTCTTAAATGTCAGCTTCTTAATATTTCTTGACAGTGATAAAATGTGGATACCAATTCACTGTGGCTGAGGGTTATGTGGACATTTTGTGTATAAAAGAGTCATTTCTCATCCTGATTTTATCATCACCCTGCAATGATCTTATGCTAGCACAGGTACAATGTCCTGGAAAGAAAGCAAAATGTTTTATGGAACCCATCTTAGAATTACTGTGTCTTTTACTTACTTATTATTATGGTTTTGTAAATACTCCCTTTAATTTCTTTGGGATTTTACCTCCTATTACATGTCAACAGGTAATTTTCCAGACTAAAGCACCCTCAGTTATAATCGCCTCAGGCCAGTGATTTGATAGGAAGTATTTATAGAGTAAAGGAAGCTCAGAGTACCTGTTTTTAATGTGTTGAGGGGAGCCAAGACACTTAAATTTGCCATCAACCATTATGGCCAGCCTGGTGCAAAGGGCTTCACACTCTTCCATGCTGGGAGGAAAGAAAATTAAAATATTAAAATATGCCATGTTCTAAAAAAAAAAAAACAAAACCTTGTTTTACACTCTAGAAAGAAATGGAGGCAAAAATATCATGAGCACAAAATATTCAAATTAAAATAGATACCAGGTGACAACCAAATAAAATGTTTCCAGTCAATTACACAACTTAAAAATAATTATTAGAATTTCTATATACCAGGAATACTAGTAAAAATTACATATGGGAAAGAACTATTCCACAATAGCACAAAAATATGAAATGATCTTACCCCAAAATGTGAATATTTTATGACGAAAAATAAAATGCTTTCTAGCAGACAAAAGTGAAATCTTAAAACAACAGGAAATGGGGGAAAATTATATTAAGTGAAGTAAGCCAGGCTCAAAGAAACATAGGTCCCATGGTTTCCCTTATTTTCAATAATTAGTATACATCTAGGATAATCTTATCAGATGAGCAGAACAGCTCAATAGCTCTGTTCATGGACATGGACACAAGAGGATGTTCTTTGTTGTTGTTGTTTTTAATGTACTATGTGAATTTTTCTTTTGTATGTTCTTCCCCCTATGGTATATCCACTGTTGTCACTGTATTTGATTTTGTTACCCTGCTATTGTACATGCGTTTATTTAAATTAGTGAAGAAAAGGGGAACAACAGAATGGTGAGACAAAGGACAAGAAGGAACCAATGCAACAGTGATATAGCCAAGACAATATGTTAGAAATGATCTGTTACAATGTGGGGGTGGGGTGGTGGGGAGGAAAAGTAGGAGAAACATGAGAGAAGGGGAAGTTGGACAAGAAATGTATTAATTACCTTACTTATGTAACTGTAACCCCTCTATCCATCACTTTGACAATAAAAAAAAACAGGAAAAGGCATTTTAAAATGAAAAGAATGAAAATTTTTAAAATGAGAAAATTTATAATATGAAAATTAATATAGTGTAAAATCATAGTAAACAATAACAATAAGCATATGTCTAAACTATTAGTAAATTTATTACAAAAGTATAAAAAGACATTATACTATAACAGTAAATAACAATTTAAATTTTACAAACATATTTTGATTTGTGATTATGATGTAAATTCTAATGTAAGATTATTTCAATATATTTGTTATAAAGACTTATAATTCATTATTTTCATATGAGTTATATGTTATAATGAATCAAAATACAATCACACCATGAGAAAGATGGCTAATAAGTAAAATATACATCTTTAAAATTATTTAGAGGAAGAAAATTGTTGAAAAAGTCATGAAGGAAGAATATTCCAAAATGCATAAATATTTGTTATACAACCAAGGGGAAAAATTAGATAATTCATTAAATAATTGCAAAGCCAATAACATCAGGGATCAGGGAAGAGCCCCTAAATGAATCAAGCTTTATGCATAAATGATTGGAGAGTAGAATCATGCTTTCTAAGCATAACTAAAGAGATGGTTGATATACATGACAATGAAAAACTCCAAGCTTCTAACAAGGGAAAACAATACCTAATATTTAAACCAGTAGAGGTTGGAGTACTCGTAGCTCAGTGATAAAGTGCCTTTCTAGTGCATGTTAGACCCTGATTTAATCCATGCCCAGCACTGAAAAGAAAATTACACCAAGAATAACAGTAGGGGTTTCTATACTTACTACAAAGTCATATGGGAATTAAAAATAAAACAACATAAATTCAATACATAAAAGGAGGAAATGACACACAGAAAAATTCAAAGAATTACTCATGACTAATAAAAATACTAACAAATTATAAACTTAACCATAAAGTGAATTTATTTTAAAACTATTTTCTAGCCAGAATGGCTTTTATCACATATACTTTCTTTTTTCTATTTTGTACTGGAAATTTTCTGTTTCCTTATCACATTCCTTTTATAAAAACAATGATTTCTCAAATCAATAAACAATACTCAGATAAACACACATGATTGTCTATAATTCTAAACAAATCATCTCATATACTGACAATGGAGTAAAACAGCATAACTTTTTGAAAATCCACTTGGCATTAATTTCCCTTCCCTCAGAAATGTAAAATATAAATTACATAGAAACTTATTTAGAGAAGTTTTGGAAATAGATAAATGCTCCATAGTCAGAAAATAAAATATTCATATAAATCAGAGTGCAATCCCTGTATTAACTCTTGAAGTCAGCTTCTCTAGAGTCAATTGTTTGCATGAGGAAAACTAAGACTATAGTATGGCAGGTGATACATATTAAAGAGTAATTGCTCAGGTTGGGCACTGGTGACTCACACCTACAATCTAGACTACTCAGGAGGCTGATATCTGAGGATCACAGTTCAAAGCCAGACCATGCAGGAAAGTATGTAAAAATTATCTCCAAGTTACCACCCAAAAGCTGGAAATGGAGCTGTGGAGGTAGAGTTCTAGCCTTGAGCAAAAAATATACTCAGACCCTGAGTTCAAATGCCTGCATCAACACACACACACACACACACACACACACACACAACACACACACATACACAATTTATGTGAAAAATGTATCTTTGGAAGACACAAAAAAGACTACCAATATTTGAAAATAATTAATGGTAGATTTTCTTTCTTTTGATGTCACTTTATATTATCCAAATTCTCTAAAGGTAGCATGTGTTACTTTTATTTTTTAGCTAACATTCTAAAGTAGGCTGCTAGCTGGGTCAATAGATGTTGAAGGTTTTACCTCTTAGCCTTCCTTGTAGCTCAATGTGGGCATGTAACAGGCTGAGGTGACTGGGGCTGGGGGAGTAATCTTGAAATAAGGAAAACCACTTACCCTGAAATTTCTTTTCCTTCCCTTCTCTGAGGTAGGATATAGGCACAGAAGTAACCAGTCACATAAACCATGGTGATATGGACAACTGATAGACCAGAAAGTGGAGTCAGAGAAATGATCTGAGGCCTAGGTTGGTTTGAGGTAGTATGGCCCAACCATGCAAACTCCTGAGTGAGTGGAAAAAAATGTCCTGAGGGAGCCAACACAACTCAAGTTTTCTTGGGGTAAGAGCTAAGTGCCAAGTATAGGGAAGATGTGCTACAAACCTTCCAAATGGGCTTTATGTATCTTTTTTGTGCAATGTATCTTTCTGTTTTTTTAATTCCAAGTTAAAAAGACCATTTGTCATTCTGATAACTATATTATAGGTAGAATATGAAATCACTGTTATACCATTTCCTTAAATGTACATTAGACAAATGTGAGAAAGATTACAGAACCACATCTTCCTGGGGCAAGACAGGAATTCAGTACTGTTAGAATATTATTAAATTATTACATATTAAATTATTAAGTAATGTTAAAGCATTATCAATGTTAATTTTTAGCATTTGTTGTAAGCAATCCTTTCAATGTTTACTTTTTCCTTCATTCAAACTAAGATTTGACTCCCTAATTGGCAGTTGGAACACCCTTCCCTAGTACCTAGCTAGCTTGAGTCAAGGACACTCAACCAAGCAGCCAGCAAGACTACGCTCATGCCAAAACCAACTGCTTGAAATTGTCTCCACATACTTCAAGGAAGCTACATGGCAATTAAAGTTGCTTGTTTTTTGTTTTTGTTTTGTTGGTCGTGGGAGCCTGAGCTCAAGGCTAGCATCCTACTACTTGAGCCACAATGCCACTTCCCACTTGTTTTTCCCCTGCGTATGTGGTGCTGAAGAATTGAACCCAGGGCCTCAAGCATGCATTCTACCACTGAGCCAACTTCCCAGGCTCAGTTGCTTGTTTTTGAAGCACACATTTACTTTTGCCTCACAACCACAACAGCTTACATCAGAGTTTGTGCCGTCACAAGCTTCCACGAATTAAAGGTGTACCAAAAGCCATTTCCACTCAGGTCAGAAGTGGAGTGCTTCCACAAGTGACCTAGCAGAAAGCATGTGATTGGTGAACACCCAGTCCTTCATGTGCATAAGGGACATGATTGGTACAAACGTGAAAGGTTTGCCATGATCGATGCAGACACCCTTTCTTTCTAGCTATCTCAGTAGGTAGTGAAGGTAGCAGCATGCATTGAGACAGCAGTAGCTATGCAGACATCCAAACACGGCAGTAGTAATGCAACAGCAACTGATGAATTCCACAGAGCAGGTAATGCAACAATGACCTGGAGCAAAGGCCATGGAAGCAAAAAGTACTAAGAACTAAAGACAAGAAACTACAGGCCCTGATCGTTGAGCCTTAAGAGCCAAGGTTTCTGATACTCTGGAGACAAAAGCTATAATTAATTGTAGCTCTTGAGCTGAGACCTGTAACACTAGAAAGCTCCATAGTTGTGGTTATCTGCTGTCATAATTCATTGCTACTGAAAGCACAGCATTATAGTAGCTGTCCAATGCTGGGGTCATTGATGGTTAAAGCCCAGAGGAATAAACCTTCAATCTGAGTGTCTAAAACCATTAAGTTCCCGTTGAAGCCTAAGGCAATAGTCTGCTGGGTGTTAAGGTTCAGAGCTGTAAGTCTCTAGGTTCTACCGGTCCAACCACTCAGCCAAGGGCTTTCAAGTGTCTGAGATTGCCTGCCAATACTGAGAGAGATTCTCCTAGCCCACCCATGATTCCTATCCAGGTAGACAAATGAGCCTAGTCAATTGATTGGATATCTAAATGAGGACTAATAACCGGGAGGAAAAGGAAACTTCACAAGGATGGAGTTCAACCAACACTTTGATGACAAATTTTAGTGCAATTAAGTCTAGGAGCAAAAAAGACCTGACAAAAACAAATATGAATTACAACTTCGGAATAACTGACTCATCATTTCCAAGTAATTTGAGATCAGCAATTTAAGAGAATGCTATAAAACTATGCATATCATGAAATATGAATCCAGAGGATAGAAAGAGGGATTTTGTCTCTAAAGCAAGATTCTACAAAGCCAGAAATTGTTCGAAAATGAAAGCAATTATTGGTCATTTACTAAAAACAAACAAATTAACAAATAACAAGCCAATCAAAAAGACAAACAAGCAATGACTCCCATTAGTGGATAGTTAGGTTGAGTGCTAGAATGATTAAAGGAATAGAGAAATGTAAGGCCTTGTATTAGAATTCACATATTCTTGTTGGATGTATGGTCACTTGTGGTTGGCCTATTTCCATCCTTGCTGTAAAGGATATGATAGAAAGTTCCTACCATTGAGGTTCTTGGCACATGTTTTCCCAAGATGCCATGGGGGAAGGAGCTAGAGGTAGTAAGAGATAATGCTGAGAGAAAACTATCCAACTGAAACACATCTTCTCAACTGAAGGCTATCATTTTAGAAACAAAATTAACCATAAGTTTTCCAATTCTGCATCTACAGTGAATCAATCAATCAGATCTTTGCATTGAATGAATAAGGACAAATTTACCCAAATCAATTGGTATATATACATATGTGTATCATTCATGTGAAAGCAATGAATAAAAAGATACAAAGAAAAACTGCAGATACAAAAAATGGCATTGCTGAGAGCAGCCTACAATAATTGTATGTTATGTGAAAAATAAAATAATTTTGATGGTGAACCATTTTGCCTAGTTTCAAAACCCATGCCTCTACATCAAGCCTTAAGCATGCCAGCAAAATGAACATCAAAATGTGCCGTTCCTAGAACTGGCAGAGTGAGATGATAATTTTGTGAGAATTTATACACATTGTGATAAAGTAGAATAATTATCTAATTTAATTTGTGTTCATGTAAAATTTTATTTCTAAAGAGAAGCTGAACAAAAACAAAAACAAAAATCAGGAGTAGTACTTCTGGCTATATCCAAGTGATGTACTCAATAAGCTGGATCAAATTCAGAACACAAACATTTCAGTATACTGGAAATTGATCTAAGGCACAAGCTAATGTGAAAAGCACATTACAGACACATTGCTAAATGCACAATAATAAGGTGCATTTATCTGTGACCTACAAATTCCGGAGATGTTGTCTTCCATCTCCAGGGCCATCAGCAGGCAGGTCTTACCAGGAAAGGCAGACCATGTAACTCAGCAGATTCCAACAAAATAGAAAAGGGTCCACTCAGTTTGTATCATTAGACAACTCCCATGCCTGGTAACAGTTGATGTATATGATCATTTTGGAGCTGAGAAAACAGGAAATGAACACCTATAAAATCTGATGAGGAAGCCTGTACTAGATAAATGTTGTGTAACAATGGTATGCACATGTATATGTGTATATGTGTGTACACATTTTTGCATGTGTGTATATGTGTGTGTGTGTGTATATATACAACTGAAGTCACAGATATGTTTCATGGAGACTGGAGAGGAATACTGAACAAGAGAGGGCATCAGTGGCTCATACTTGTAATCCTAGCTACTCAGGTGGCTGAGATCTGAGGATCACAGTCAAAGCCACCCAAGCAGGAAAGTCCATGATACTCTTATTTCTGATTAACCATCAAAAAGCCAAAGGTAAAGCTGTGGCTCAAGAGATAGAGTGCTAATCTTGAGCACAAAAGCTCAGAGACAACATCTAGGCCTTGAGTTCAAGCACCAGGACCGACACACAAAAAACAATAGCCAGTGAATAGCAGAGCTGGAAATATGACTTAAGTGGTAAAGCATTCCTATGCAAGCAAAGAGACTGAATTCAAACCCATTGCCACTAATAAAAGAAAGGAAGGAAGGAAGGAAGGAAGGAAGGAAGGAAGGAAGGAAGGAAGGAAGGAAGGAAGGAAGGAAGGAAGGGAGGGAGGGAGGGAGGGAGGGAGGAAGGGAGGGAAGAAGGAAGGAAGGAAGGAAAGAGGGAAGGAAGGAAAGAGGGAAGGAGGGAGGGAGGGATGGAGGGAAGGAGGGAAGGCAGGAAGGAGGGAGGGAAGGAAGGAAGAAAGAAAGAAGAAAGAAAGAAAGAAAGAAAGAAAGAAAGAAAGAAAGAAAGAAAGAAAGAAAGAAAGAAAGAAAGGAAGGAAGGAAGGAAGGAAGGAAGGAAGGAAGGAAGGAAGGAAGGAAGGAAGGAAGGAAGGAAGGAAGGAAGAAAGAAAGAAAGAAAGAAAGAAAGAAAGAAAGAAAGGAAGGAAGGAAAGAAAAGAAAGAAAAAAAGAAAAAGAAAGAAAGAAAGAAAGGAAGGAAGGAAGGAAGGAAGGAAGGAAGGAAGGAAGGGTGGGAAGGAAGGAAAGAAGGAAGGAAGGAAGGAAGGAAGGAAAACAGTGAGGGGAGAGAGAGATGGAGGGAAGGAAGGAAGAAGGAGGAAAGTGAAAAAAGGAATAAGCCATCAAAATTATGAAAAGATACAAGGGGGGTAAATAAAGGAACCCAGTCTCAAAAGGCTACATACTGTATGATGTCTACTATATAACATTCTGTAAAAGGCACAGAATTGATTTAGAACAAATTATTGCCAGGGTGCTGGTGGCTTATGCATATAATCTTAGCTGAAGAGCTGAGATCTGAGGATCAAGATTTGAAGCCAGCACAGCAGAAAAGTTCATGAGACTAATATCTCCAATTAAGCGCCAAAACCTTACAGTATAGCTACAGCGCAAGTGGGAGAGTGCCAGAAATGCTCAAGGACAGCACCTAGGCCCTGAGTTAAAGCCTTAGGACCATCACACACACACACACACACACACACACACACACACACACACACACACACGCATATATACATACACATACACAAAAATCTGGGGAAAACTTTTGAATAGATATTTTACTAAAAAGTGGATGAAAACAGCCAATAAGCACATGAAAAAAATCAGTTTCTTCAATAGAAACTTATTATGCTACCTAGTAATTCAATCCTATTAGTCTATTCAAGAAAAATTAAAACATACATTTTTACATGCAAAGACACCAATAAAACTACTCAAATTCAAAACAATCTGAATACTCATAAGCTAGTGAGTGAATGAAGAAAACGTGTCTAGCTATACAGTGGGGTACTACTGAATAATGAAAAGAGTTGATAACTACGGGGCTGTAGCTGCTTATGCCTGTGATTCTAGCTACTTAAGAAGCTGTGATCTATATACCAGATGCAGGGCACCGACATCAAATACAGTGAAAACAGGGGTTATGCCATGGGGGAGGAACATACAAAGAAACAAAAATATTCACATGGTACATTATAAAAACAGTAGAAACAATAGCAAGAAATAAAAAAAGAACTACTTGTGACCCTTTCTTAGGGTTCATTTCACTTAACATCATCTTATCTGGTCATATACACATAGCTTTTGGTCTTTTCTGCTTGTCCCAGACATACACTAGTTATTGCAAATAAGGGAAACCATGGGACCTATGTTTCTTTGGGCCTGGCTTACTTCTTCTCTAATTTGGGAGGAGAAGGGAAAAAATAAAATGCTTAAATAGAGATACAGGTTGACCCATTGTAACAATGAGGTGCACAAGACACTATGTTGAAAAACAAACTTTACAATTTAGACAGGAGGTGGGGAGGGGGGGGGAGTGTAGTCGTGGATGTGAGTGGGAAGGGATGGTAGGGGAAAAACAAAAGAGGAGGAAACAATGCTTGATAGGAAATGTACTCATTACCTTGCTCATGTAACTGTAACCCCTCTGTACAGTATTTTTACAATAAAAAGTATTAAAAATTGTGAATTAAAAAAAAGAGAAAAAAAGAAACTGTGATCTGAAGATTGAAGTTCAAAGCCAAACCGGGACACAAAAGTCCCTGAGACTCTTAGCTCCAATTAACCACCAGAAAACCAGAAGTGTTGCTATGACTCAAGGTGGTAGAACACTATCCTTCACTGAAAGGAACTCAGGGACAGTTCCCAAGTCCTGAGTTCAAGCCCAACAGCCACAAAAACAAAAAAAAAGTGTTGATGTACATTCAAAAACCTATGGTAAATTGAAAACAAATACAAAAACTACACATTATCTAATTCAAATACAATTATAATTCAATATAATTATAATACAAATATAATTCAATAAAAATACTACATATTATATAATTCTATTAATATGAACTATTCATAAAAGGCAAATTTATAAAGACAGAAGATCAATAGTTTCCTAGAGCTGGAGTTTTGAATGGAGAAAATGATGGTAAACTCCTAGATCCTTAATAAAATTCCTGATACAGCAAGTGGAATCTTTAAACTCTAATCTTCATTACACTTCAGACTTTTTAGTAGGTAAACTTTATTATTCAGCCTCCATGACACAGTCTTATAAAATCTATATTTGTAATGTCATGTGCCTACAGCAAGTGTATCATAAAGTGGAAAAAAAAAGCAATGGTTAAGAATTCTAATTACAAATTTAATTCCGCAATAAGGACAAATGTCGGATAGGATTCAGTAAACAAGTTAGGTTTTCACTTTGAACATTACCATCTTCTGAATATGATGAGAACGGGGACAGGAAGGTGATGAAGTGTCATTTGGGCAGAACTCAGTGAGGGAGACTAGAACGCACCCTTGAGCAGCAGCAAGGAAAAGGCCAGAGTGTGGTCTATGGATTTAGACTACTAGGCTCAAATTCTAACTCTACCCCCTGCTTTGTGTGGCCTTAGTTATGTTTCATAACCTCTCTGCTTCAGTCTCCTAAGGTACATAATAGAGAAGAGCAATCATCTCACCACCATAATATTGTAAAGACAAACTTCTTAGTGTTGATGGCTACTCTGTCTCGTTCTAAGAGCCTTCAGGTGGGACACAGCTCACCTGTGAGATGTCAGCACTGCAGCACAGCCTTCATGAACCTCCTTCATAATTGTTTGCCACAAGTACCGCTTAGAGCAGGGATCCATCCCAGAGCTAGGCTCATCCTAAGGGAAAGAACACACACAGAAATGAGCATTTATTCATTGAGTGCACATGAGAATGCACACACCACCACATGGGACTAGATTCCGACTGAACAGAAAGCATGTTCTAGCTGAATGAATACTTCTATTGGCTTCATTACATTCTACAAAATGAATTCATGTTGATGGGGTGGGGGAAAAGAGTATCATGAGTAAGTGCTTGACTCCCTCATTCACACGGGATAACACTACCCAAGAGAAGTACTGCTTCCTGGTTACACCTAAATTATTGAGGTATCTGGCACACCTGACATGTTAGGAGAGCCTGGAAGTGAGGAAGAAAGGCCACTGACCATAGCAACCGTTTCCATTCTTCTCAAGAGCCACCTGGGAAGGTTCCCGGAAGGCCACCACACATGTGATATGCAGGTACCACAGCCTTCTGCATGCCTCACTTTCCCCTTTTCCTCAGCATCCTCCTGAGAGCACTCCCTCAGAAAGCAACTGCCAATACCCCGCACAAACAACCAGTACAGCTGCAAGACTAAGGGAAGACACACAAGCTTGCCCATTCTCTAACTAAGGCAAAACAGACAGGAAGCTCCCAGCACCTGGCCTACTTCTGTGGGATTGAGAAAAGACATATGACCTTCAGAGTTCCTCTCCCACAAGACTGACCAAGAAGCATAGAATGGGCATATCTACAGAAACCATCTGACAGTACCTTAGAATCACTCTCCTGACTGACAAGTATTTTCTGTCCCAAAGAAAGTGAAGACAGTCATGGCAGGGTGATTGCTTCTCTAATTTTTTTTGTCGGTCATGGGGCTTGAACTGTGGCTCTGGGCACTGTCCCTCAGCTCTTCACCTCAAGGCAAGTGTTCTACCAGTTGAGGCGCAGCACTACTTCCAGTTTTCTGGTGGTTTATTGGGGATAAGAGTCTCATGAACTTTCCTGCCTAGCCTGGCTTTGAACTGTGATCCTCAGATCTCAGCCTCCTGAGTAGCTAGGATTACAGGTGTGAGCCACTAGCGCCCAGCACTTCTCTAAATTTGAACACAGTAATGAAACAGGTCAAGGAGCCATGACACCACTACCAAAGGAATACAAGAATAACCCAACAACCAATGTTGATGACATGGAGATCTATGAATTGTGTGACACAGAACAGTAAATTATTATCTTAGGAAGCTAAGGGAGCTACAAGTGATTGTAAATAGATGACTCAACAAAATCAGTAAAAACAAGATAGACACACAAAAAAAAGATGTTTAAAAAAGAAAAGGAATTCATGTAAGAAGAATCAAGTCACAGTTCTGAAACATAAACTGACACATTTGAATGAAACCCCTCTGTACAACTACTTAACAATAATTAATAAAAGAAAAAGTTACTTGATCTGCAAAACCAAAAATTTTAGGCAATTCCATAGCAGGAAAATTCAGTGACTAAGATGGAAAATATGACTCTATGTTAATAGCAACTATATCAAGTAAAATTTTAAAACCTGTGAACTTGAACACAAGATACTTAAAATTATCCAATCAAAGTAGAAAAAAGAAAAAATAGATTTAAAAAGAGTGAAGAATCCACATAGGATTCATAAGACACTGTCAAGAGAACTCTCATGTAGGAAAAAGGAATTGTAGCTCATGCTTGTGATTCTTGCTAAGTGAAAACACAGGTAGAAGGATCATCATCAGAGACCAGCCCTAGGTATAAGACTCTCCAAAAACAAAAACAACAACAGAACCCTAAAGCATAAAAAGATATTTTTACTCACCTGGTGGAGCACCTGTCTAGCAAATAGGCCTTGAGTTCATTCCCCAGTACTACACACATACATGCATGCATGCACATGCACACACACAAGGAATGTAGCATTTATGTAAAAACACAAACTTTTACACTATGGATTAGAATAAAAATTAGAGCTGGGCACCAGTGGATCATGGCTGTAATCCTAGCACTCAGGACGCTAACATCTGAGGATCCAGATTCAAAGCCAGCCCAGTCAGGAAAGTTGGTAAGTCCCTGAAATGGAGCTGTGGCTCAAGTGGCAAAACACTAATCTTGAGCACAAAAGTTCAGTGACAATGCCCAGTCCTTGAATTCAAGTGCCAGGATCGGCACCAATGAAAAGAAAAGTGTGGGAGCTAGGAAGGTGGCTCAGTGGTAGAGTGCTTGCCTTGCATGCATGAGGCCCTGGGTTCGATTCCTCAGCACCACATAAACAGAAAAAGCTGGAAGTGATGCTGTGGCTCAAGCAGTAGAGCGCTCGCCTTCAGCTGAAGAGCTGAGGGACACCGCCCAGGCCCAGAGTTCAGGCCCCAAGACTGGCAAAAAAATAAGAAAAGAAAAGTGTGGAGAGGAAGGAGTCGGGGAGGTGAGGAGGGAAGAGATGGTAGGGGAAAAACAAAGGAGGAGGTAACAATGCTTGATAGGAAATGGACTCATTACCTTACTCATGTAACTGTAACCTCTTTGTACAGTATATTTACAATAAAAAATATACAAGCCGGGTGCTGGTGGCTCACGCCTGTAATCCTAGCTACAGGCTGAGATCTGAGGATCACGGTTCAAAGCCAGCCCGGGCAGGAGAGACCGTGAGACTCCTATCTCCAATAAACCACCAGAAAACCGGAAGTGGCGCTGTAGCTCAAGTGGTAGAGCGCTCGCCTTGAGCTGAAGAGCTGAGGGACAGCGCCCAGGCCCAGAGTTCAAGCCCCACGACCGACAAAAAAAAAAAAAAAATATATATATATATATATATATATATATATATATATACAAAAAATAAAAAATCCAAAAGCAAGACCTTCACAAGAATGACAAAAAAAAGAAAAGGGGGAGATACAAATTAGTATAGCTGTTAAGAAAAAATAAGGAGGTTCTTCAAAAAACTAACAACCTGGCTATCTCACCAATAGGTATACCCCTTCACCACATATACATATAAATAAATGTATATAAATACATAGATATAAATATATATACACACAATACATCAAAAGTGCAAACATGCACACTTATTTAGTGAATGTATGAAATCCACTTCAGTGCCAATCAACAGCAGAGTAGAAAAAAACATAGTTTATACACTCTATGTAACTTTATCAGGAATAAAAAGTATAAAATCTTAGAATTTATAACAAGATGGAAGAACATAGAAAAAATTATATTAATTAAATTAATTCAAGAACAAAAAGACAATCACCACATACTTTTACCTGTATGTATGAAGATGTGTATAATAAAATATTATTCAATAAAGAAAAGAAAGCAATATAGTTTTCAAATATTTATGAATACATATATATGTATATATTATATGAACCTGAAGAACACAACAGTGAATGAAATAATTCAGACATAGAAAGACTAGTATTATATGAAAATTAAGGAGTCAAACAAAGAAACAAAGAATAGAAGGTTCTAGCAGATGTAGAACATGAGGGAAATAGGGAGATGATGGTCAAAGGGTAGGATATTTTCATTATGCAGATTTGATATGCAACATAGACATTTCTATGGTTTGAATCTTCTGCCCCATCTAAAGTTCATGTTGAAACTTAATCCTCCATAGCAAAGTACTGAATTGTGGCATTTGGGGAGGTTATTTGAAGTTGTAAAGGCTATACCTTTCCAAACAATTTGTATGCCCTTATAAAAGGAATTGATGGAGAAATTTTGTCCTACTGTGCCTTGTAACTTCTGCCATGTGAAATCTTATTCTCCCTTCTAGCGTATAAACAACACAAGGCACCATCTTGCAGTCAGAGACAGGACCTTCAGCAGGCATCTGAACCCAGTAATACCTTTATCTTGTATTTCCATTCTTTAGAACAGCAAAAAAAATCATTTTGTACTTTATAAACTGATCAATCTGTGATATTCTGTTATAGTAGCACAAATGGACTGACCACACTGTATTGTATATTTGAAATTTGCCAAGAGGTAGATCTTAAGAGATCTCATCACAAGCTGGAGAAAAGGATTATGTGTATGTATGCATGCATTTTTATATGCAATTATTCTCAATAAAACTGGTGGGCATGAGTTGAGCTACTTCACCTCAACTTAATTTTTCTTGGTGATCTGGTCAGGCCATCCTTGGTATGTTTTCTAAATGAATTCTCACCCTTCATAAACTTTCAGACTGGTAAGATATATGAGAGAAGAAACAGCTTCATTTACTTAGTAACAGCAAATGAATTGAAATTCCCTGGAACCTGAAGCTTTCTCTCTCAATAAACTCCTAAGTACTTCCTATTTGAGACACTTTTGAGAGAAATCTTGCTGAACAGTATAATATATTTCTGTGTTTTTTTGCAGTCGGAGAGTATAAGCCACATTTTTCTTAAAAGCTTTGGATCATCAGATTTCCTCAAAGATAAAATGGAAGGGAAGTAGGGCAAGCAGAGAGCTGAGCAGGAAAATAAACACCTGGTCTTTTCTGCAAATCAAGTGATACATGTGTACTATTTGAAAAAGGTGAATAAAACATGGGATCTTGTATTGCTCAGGAAGAGGAATAGATGTATAATTTCAAATTTTCCTATTTTTGTACCTTAGTATCTGCTCTCAGTTTGAACAGCACCATCATCATAGTCAAAATACTTACTGTGGATTTATTATGCACAAGGTATTGGCAACATGCTTAATGTAGATTATTTCTTTTATTACTTTCAATGGTTCCTTAAGACAGACACAAGCATCAAAACCATTTCCAGACAAAGAAGAATCAGGCACACACAAAGTCATGCTGTGGAATTGCAGAAGCTCAAACAATTCCACCTAGTCCCTGGGGTCCCCATCTGACCCCAATCAAGTCCTGAGCGCCCATGTAGATTGAGAGGAGAGATATACAAAGAAAAGACATGGCCTCTTTGTCCACCTGAAGACTGAGGCTAGCACAGAGGTGATGGATGCACATATCTATAAGCCCCTCAGCAGAGCCTGCCTCTTCCTCCCAGGATAATGTCATTTGTAAATTACAGAATGGTATAAGCACTAATGTGGCCTATCAGATGCCAGAATATGAAAACGCACAATAGCATTGTACTTTGAGTTTCTCAATTACAAGGTTAGAGCAGGTAAAAGTACTCAGTTGAGTTTTTAATAGACAACAAGAAAAACTGACAGAATCCATTTTACCAGCATGGGCCCTCTGAAACCTCATTAATTCTCCTACTGAAATGTTCTTTTCATTTGATGAGCAAGAATGGAAAAAAATAATATGCTTTATTCCCTGTATATTTTGATACTTGTGGACTGTCTGCCAGGGTTCAGCCTTAGGGTGTAATTTAGTAATAAAAAAACATACACAACACTGGAGCTCATTACTTATTGTTTAATGGCATCATATGTATTAGAGCTATTTTTGAATGCCAGGGTATTGGCTCTTATATCACCTCCATTTAATGTTTTGATCCTGCAACATGGAATTGGATGCAGTTACTAGACAGATTACACATGCCTTGTCTCTTGGCCATGCTCCATCTTTTTGCTGGAACTCTTTCCTCCTTCCCCAAACTCATCCTGTGTTCATGTGTCAATCAACTTTCCATTACTGAAATAAGTCACCCAGATAATTAACTTATGAAGAGAAAACATTTATTTTTGTCTTATAGTTTTGGAGGTGTGAATTCAGGATTGGTTGGCCTTACTGCTTTGGGGAGTGTAGTAAGGCAGCCTAACATGACAAGAAGCTGTAATAGAAAAAAATATCACCTCATGCCAAGAAGCATAAAAGAAAAGAAAAGAAAAGAAAAAGTTCAAAAAAGGGGCCAGGGCCTTACTACGTACTTCAAGGGATATCCCCAATAACCTAAAAACCTCCCATTAGCAGGACTCTTAAAGATTCTACAACCTCCCATTTGAACCAGTGGCTAGGGACAGAAGTTTTAGTATATGAGCCTTTGGGGAAAACACAGCAATCTCTGAGCCCATCTTCATGATATACATGCAGGCATAAAAAAGGTATAAAAGCAACATAGAAATATATATATATATATATATATATATGTATATATATATATATATATACATACACATATATTATATATAGCATTTCAGATTACAGGTATACTTCAATATCCTCTCTGAATATCATTTTAATGTTAAAATTTCAAGAAAATTTTAATCTGACAAATAGAAGTGAATCTACCAAAAGAAAAATATCTCGTGTGTGTGTGTGTGTGTGTGTGTGTGTGTGTGTGTGTGTAGGGGGTGGGTGGGTGTGAAATTCCAGTGACATTTTACATTCTGGTTGAAAAATGTTGACTTAGTCCAGACAATTTATTAGTTCATAGCATTAGTGTTTACAAGTTTTGAAGTGAATTCTGAGAAAAACTGCAATGGTTTAAAATAAGTGTATAGGTACACATGCAAAGTGTATCTTCTCTTAAGACACTAACACATTGCTGGTCTTTCCACTACTTACCAATAAAAGAATGTCAGGTTTCCCAACCAGGGCCAGGGCTGTGGACAGCTTCCGCTTGGTTCCTCCACTATAGGTGGCTACGAGTTTGTCTGCATGAGCTTCGAGGTGTAAGCGCCTCACGAGGTCTGCAGCCACCTAAAACAGAGGAGCTGTCTATGAGCACACAGCCAAACTCAGCCCTGACTTCTTCTTCTCCCCTGTTCCATCCGCCCCCATCACTCCTCTCACCTCCCACAGATAGTCAAAAACATCTCTGGTCTCTTCCCCTTCATGATATTGGGAGCAACTGAGAAAGAACAAAAGTGAGTGTCCTGTGCCTGGAGACCTCTGATTGTGACCAGAAGTCAGGATTGAAGCGCAGAAAGCAGGTATGTGGGTAAGAAACATGACAACGAGACTGGGCCCAGATAACAATCACAGTATGGTGAGCAGAAGGAAATCAGGAAATGAAAGTGAACAGAATAGAAATGAAGCCAACACAATAAAGTGCCAAAACTTCAAGGGAGGAAAGGCGTGAAAAAGGGAAATTGGAAGTATGAGTACAAACAAAGAAATATCCCTTTTGCATAAAGACACTGTTAATAGAGCTTGCACAATCAGAATTCAGCTTATGAAGTAACTGAATGTATGACAGAATGGGAAAGTGCTTTTTTATTTTTTCTTTTTAAAAAATTTCTTTTTCTCCTTATGTTTTTTGTAGTTTTGTTGGACTTTTGTTGTTGTTTTGGTTTGGTTTTTTTTTTGTTTTGTTGTTTTGTTTGGTTTGTTGCTGATCATCAGCTGCAGACAGAGAACTGTTCTATTAAGCCATGAATAGGGTAACTTCATTCACAAAATCTCCCACTCTCAGCCACAGGGGACATCTGAGTCCATCAAATCCTCTGACTCACAGCCTCTCCTACCCATTATCCCTTCCAACCTGCCATCTTTTCACCCACCATTGAGACCCCAGCTCCTTTCTTTCCTTCCTTCTCTTAGCATAAATCATGGTCACCACTTCTAGGTACCAGATGTGTTTATACATCAGGGCCATTGACATGCTTCAATGTAATTTGTATCTCATTATCGCCTATCTACTTAGAGTTCTGTGTGAAACACTCACATGAGGAAATGTCTTTGTTTCTAAATCTTGGCACAATTTAATACTTTTCACAGTTATTTATCTCTGTGAACACAGTAGTATTAATTAAGCTATAAATGTATATTTATTTTTTAGACATTATGAATCTGGCCAAGATTTAGGTTGGAGGTACAGGTCAAATGGTAAATGCAAATCCCTGAGTTGAAACCGCAGTACTGCTAAAAAAAAATTAAACTTTAGAAAGACACTGTATGAACAGGAGGATGAATTCATAATTAAAATCTTAAGAGCTAAATAAGAGCTAAATAAAACATAGCTATAAATTAATGTACATATTTGGATAACTATATAAAATTTAAAATAATAAGGATGATTTCATTTATTAAGAATCTCTGTAACACTAGAAGAATACATATTTTTCCATGAAACTATTTCAATATGGATTCTTTATTTTTCCAGCCTCTAAGTCATTTGGAAAGTAAGAAGGAAGCTCACAGGACTGGTCTTGTGACCAAAGGGTATAGGTGAAGGAAACATGGACTTCAAGGACCAAAAGAGACATGAAGATGTGAAGTTGAACCCCTGCTCTCTACCTAGAAAAGCCATCTCATGACCCAATCCTTTTGTGCTTATTGGAAATAGTCACATCCTTCCTTGAAGATTATTTTACGTGAACTACCTTTACCTGGCTCTATTATAACTACTTATTTTGGTTAAAATTGGTTGAATATCTAAATTAAATTTAGATTAAATTAAATATCTACGTTAAATTTAAAAATGAAAGTGTGTTATGCATATAAGCAAACAAGTACAAATACTAATGATAATATTACATGAATGAAAATATAGCATGCCTGACAATGAAGAAATTAGATGGTAGAGGCATTAGATTCACAAAGCTTTTCCACAGAGAAGACTATCAATAAGTGTAATAGTACATTAAAAACAACAACAACAAAGAAAAACCTCTTAGCTCCATATCTTAGAGTTCATTTTGCTTAGTGTCATCTTATACAATTGCTATTGAGCTATTCTGCTCATCTGCTTTTTAGACATATACTAATTATTGCAACTAAGGGAAACCATGGGACCTATGTTTCATTAGGTTTGGCTTACTTCACTTAATATGATTTTTTTTCCCAAGTTGGTCCATTTGACTTTTGTTTCCTTTGTATGTCCTTCCCCCTACGGAATATCCCCCGTTGTAACTGCATTTGATTATGGTCCCCTGGTATTGTATATAGTTTTATGTGAATTGGGAAATTAAAGGGGAACAAAAAAATGGTGAGGGGACAAAGGGGAACCAATGTCACAGCAACATACACAAGATAATATGTAGGAAATGATTTGTACAACTTGGGGGGGGGGAGAGGGAAAGTAGGAGGAAATGAGGGAAGGGTTACAAGTTTGACAAGAAATGTATTTATTACCTAACTTATGTAACCCCTCTGTACATCACCTTGACAGCAGAAAAAGAGTCATAGTAGCCTGGATGAAGATGAAAGATAGAAGAAGTGACCAAGGAAGGTGTCTCAGAGAAAGAGGCCTTTATCCCAAAAAAGAGACCTAGGAATAATGATAGGAAGTATTGGAAATCAATTCCCTTTTTAAAAACTAAGTTTTTTTATTGTGAAAATAGTGTAGAGGGGTTACAATCACACGAGCAAGATCATGAGTACATTTCTTATCAAGCATTGCTGCCTCCTAATTTGTTTTTTCCCCTACCATCCCTTCCCTCCCACCTACACAACTACACCCCCCCCCACCCCTCGCCTAAATTGTAAAGTTCGTTTTTTCGACATAGCATCTTGTACATTTCATTGTTGCAATGGGTCCACCTGTATCCCTATTTAAACAATTTGTTTTTTCCCTTCTGCTCCCCAAATTATACCAACATCAAATACAGTGAAAACAGAGGTTGTACCATGGGAGAGGACATACAAAGCAACAAAAAATCATGTGGTACCTTATGAATATGTTAGAAACAGTAGCAAGAAAGAAAAAACCACTTGTGTCGTTATCTTGGGGATCATTTTGCTTAACATCATCTTATCTGACCTTTTCTGCTTGACTCAGATATATACTAGTTTTTGTAAATAAGAGAAACCATGGGACCTATGTTTCTTTGGGCCTGGCTTACTTTTTATAGTATATATTTTTATTGCAAATATACTGTACAGAGGGGTTGCATTTACATGAGTAAGGTAATGAGTCCATTTCCTATCAAGCATTGTTACCCCCTCCTTTGTTTTTCCCCTCCCATCCCTTCCCTCCCCACTTGCCCCACTTCTCTCCCCCTCCACAAAGTTGAAAAGCTCGTTTTTAACATATTATCTTGTACATCTCTTTGTTACAATGGGTCAACCTGTATCCTTGTTTCAGCATTTTGTTATTTCCTTTCCCCTCCTCAAATTAGAAGAATGAATATATGAGATGCAGGGCACAGTATCAAATACAGTGTCAACAGGGGTTATACCATGGGGGAAGAACATACAAAAAAAAACAAAAATATCACATAGTACATTATAAGTACATTAAAAACAACAGCAACAAAGATTAAAAAAAAACTCTTGTGTCCCTATCTTGGGGTTCATTTTGCTTAGAATCATCTTATATGAAATCTAATAATAACAAATGCTAGAGGGGATGTGGCCAGAAGGGAACCCTACTGCATTGTTGGTGGGAGTGTAAACTTGTTCAAACACTTTAGAAAGCAGTATGGAAGTTCCTCAAAAGACTCCACATGGAGCTCCCCTATGACCCAGCACTATGCCCACTTTTGGGCATTTACCCCAACGATCACAAACAAGGCCATACTAAAGCTACCAGCACAATTATATTTATTGCAGCATTATTCACCATAGCTAAGATATGGAACCAACCCAGATGCCCTCAGTAGATGAATGGATCAGGAAAATGTGATATATATATATATATATATATATATATATATATATATACACAATGGAATTCAATGCCTCCATCAGAACGAATGACATTGCCCCATTTGTTAGGAAATAGAAAGACTTGGAAAAAAATTATATCAAGTGAAGTAAGCCAGCTCCTAAGAAACAGGTTCCATGGTTACTTTATTTGCAATAACTAGTCTATATCTAGGATCATCTTACTAGACAAAGAGAAAAGGTAACCAATTCCTTTGAGGGGGAAACAAATATTAAAGGAACTAAGATTAACAAAAGTAACTCATTACAGCTGAATGTAATCAGTTCTTTTCAATCACTATTCTCTGGGATTGGTTTCTCCTCAATGTCCATGTTTCTTAGAAATATTTTAATATTTTTAAATAAAGTGTATTCTAAACAAAAAGCAAATGGGGAAAATAAGATTTGATATTATTTTAGACTTATAAAACTTATTTTTAAAATGAAATATAATGTATGTCTTTTTTTTTTTTTTTTTTGGGGTCCGGTTGTGGGGCCTGAACTCTGGGCCTGGGTGCTGTACCTCAGCTCTTCAGCTCAAGGCTAGCAAGCTACCACTTGAGCCACAGCGCCACTTCTGGCTTTTTTCTTTTTGCTTATGTGGTGCTGAGGAATTGAACCCAGGGCCTCAGGCATGCAAGGCAATCGCTCTACCACTGAGCCAACTTCCCAGCCCTAATGTATGTCTTTTTGAATGTTTTATTTTTCTCTCATGCAATTTTACTCAAAGACTAGCAATAAGCTAATAAAGAAAACAACAGAATTAACATAACAATAAAAACACCTGATTCTTTAGAAACATGTTACAGAATAATACATTTAAATACATTTGGGGAAACATTATTACTTATTTTTACAAAACCGGGATACATGTGTTTTCCAATTTCACAAAAGGTTGAATGGTATGGCCTGCAAATCCTGTGTTTTCCATAGGGATGATTCCAGAATGAACAGGAACAAATGTGCAGGTTTTATCTAGTGCCCTCTGAATGTCACATTCTCAGAAAATAACTGAGAATGGCCTAATAAGATGTATTTTGTTGTTGTCTTTTCTGCGCTCCACAAAACTATGAAAATAATGACAAATGTGACATCCTAGAAATCCACAAATG